CCTTAGCTGATTTTCACAAAATAATAACAGTAAGAGCAGATAAGTGCTGGGATGAATTGTGGTCACAATATATGAATGCAGATATTATTTAAAAAGTTGTTCATTATGATTTGCATTTCTAGTTTTTTATTTTTATTTGTGTTCCAGTTATTATTATTAGCTGCAATCAAAACATACTTTTACAGGCATGGTAAGCCCATCTTAAAGTTCTAGTTGAGACAGATTTCTTTACACATCAGATTCTATTTTTAATCCATATTGCAGTTTTATAAAAACCATAGCCATGGCAGTATGATCTCCGCTTCAGTTCTTTCAATTAAACCATTTAAACTACAACTGCTCTCAGCATGCTACATGTTATATCCTGAAAGAGTGCTAACAAATTGTGTTTTAATGAAAGGTTCCCATTAGCGAGGTGAAATTCAGAGCTTTTCCTATTTACTCAAAATATCTCAATAAACATGACAGAAACTTGGTATGTGGACAATTTCTGCAAATAAACAGACCCTTTAAATCTTTTTAGTAGCAAGACTGTGATAATTAGATTACTTTGGAGAACAGATTTGACTCAAATTCCTGGGTGGATTGGAAAACATATTGAGGATAAGCACTTAAGTCCTTACCAAGCACTTGAGCAGAAAAGTGGAACAGCATTAATTTAAAAAACACTGCAGCTGCGTCTAGATTGGCATGATTTTGCGCAAATACTTTTAACGGAAAAGTTTTTCCATTAAAAGTATTTGCGCAAGAGAGCATCTATACTGGCACGGATGCTTTTGCGCAAAATCTTGCCAGTCTAGACGCACCCAGCCTCTTCAATTATTAGCTTTCCCAACAGTACTTAATTAAAAAAAAACAGTACTCATTGACTAGTGTTTCAGAATGGCTAAAAACATAATGTTTTCAGGAAATATTTCACTGAGATTTGTTAATAATCTTAGGACTTGATTTCAATTATTTTGTTGACTTTTTTGCAAGGCTGTATGCTTCAACTCCTTTAGGGCCCATTCCAAATTGTAATCCATTAAAAAGTGGATTGATTATACAGGTACACTTTGCACATTGAATTTGTGTTTGATTCGCTTTTTTAAAAGGTTTAGGTTTAGATTTTTTATTTATTTCAGGAAGCACTTACGAATAATTGCTCTGTTCATATCAATAACCATTTAGCACTAGCAATTTTGGTTTATGCTATTGTTTTCTTGGTCAAAATTTTCAAAAATAGAAGCTTCAAGTTAAATTTCTAAACCCTGAATAATTGGGCCTGATTTTCAAAAGTGTCCCAGCAGGCAGTCTCCAAAATATGGAATGGAGCCTGAAAATGTAAAAGCCTTCACATCTCAGGGTAGAATTTTCAGATACCTAAAACACTCAGGAACACAAAACCCAAAATCATTCCATCAAAGTTCAGTATTTGATATCTATTCTAGTGGTTGATCTGCTTACACCCTTTATATTTAACTCAAGTTACACTAAGTTCTTCCTCTAGTTCGTTCATTCTGATGCCCTACTTAGCCATCAAATATTTGGCTTCTTTCTTGGTTATCCTCAGGAAGAATCTCTTGCCTGACTCATAATATGGCTGCAAAGATTATTATCCTAGCTCTTTGCTTTGGCTGTGTCACTTCTCATGTTGCATCCCTCCACTGGCTCCCCTGTCTCTATCATATATAACCTATACTACTTGTTTTCACTTTCAAGGCCCTTTACAGTCATTCCCTACCCTACCTGTTGCTAGGAAGAGGTCAGCTACCACCTCTAATTAACCCATGATGCATCTTCCATTCTACACTTACTGATTTAAAAAAAAACACTCTTGGCATTTTGACCCATGTTGTCCCTCATGCTTTGTAGGTGCTTCCCACAAACATCTGCAAAGCTATCTCAGAGTCATCCTGTAGAACCCCGCCCCTCTCAACTCTCCTTTGGTGTGACACCCACAGACTAAGCTGCGAGTGTGTGAAGACCACCACCTATTATGTTGACCAACCTTATCTTGTTACTTCCTTGTACTCACCAATCTGACCATATCCCTTGGTTGTCTCCTGTCTTATCCTTAGATTGTAAGCTTTTGGGAGGCAGGGACTGTTTTTTTATTGTTCTGTTCATACAGTGCTTACATAAAGGGACCCTGGGTCCATTCTAGGGCTGCTAGGCACTATAGTTATACAAATAATAAAACAATAAGAAAGGTTTAGAGCTATCAGCTCAATACCGAGGTGTTTGAATCTGTGGGTTTGTCTGTTGCTAAGGTCCCCTTTATGCCAGCTAGTGATATCTCTCCTCTATCCCAGGAGTCAGTCTTTGTGCTTTGGCCAATCCAATCCCAGACATTAAAAAGCACCTCCCTAGGTTTCTACACAAATCTCATCCTGCCCCCAACACCACAAGATGGTAGCTCCTGGTATCCTCTAGATCTCTTTACTCTTATCTCACTGACCTCATTCTAGCTGCTAGAAATTCCTCCTGAGTCCTTAATTTCCCACACTGGCAAAATTTCAAGCAATGTGCAAGTACGCTACAGGTATCATGTATATAGTATCCTTTACAATATGGTCATTGTATTAAACCTTGAATAACTAACTCTTGCATCATCCTTGCAAGATCGTTGCACTGTTAGCAGCATGGGTTTCAGTGTCTCAATTCCTTCTCCACCAAGTTCTGGTGGGAACTGTCTTTATACTCAGAGCCCTGCCTGGATACAAATTTGTATCCACATCCTTGCCCTATCTGCAAAAAAATTAGCCATAGATATCCGCAACTACATGCACAGATGCAGATACCCATAGGTATAAAGAGAATTTCCATGGATTTACAGGGGTCTGTTTATCCCAAATATATATGCATAATCTTGGGTCTAAACTAGCTCAAGGAAGAGATCTTAGAGGTTTGAACCCTTGGAGTTCTCTGAAAACATCTATTCAGTGTGCAGTGGCAGTCAAAAAAGTGAACAGAATGTTAGGAACCATTAGGAAAGGAATAGATAATAAGGCAGAAAATACCAAAATGTGTTTTTATAAATCCATGGTATGTCTATATTTTGAATAATTTGTGCAGATCTTGCCATCCCATCTAAAAAAAATGATATACAGTATTAGAATTGGAAGAAAGTACAGAGCACAGCAACAAAAATTGATAGCGTTTATGGAACAGTTTCCATATATGGAGAGATTTATAGGACAACTATGGAATAGCCTGTCTAAAAAGTAAGTTTCTTTTTAGCTACCATTAGTTCGTGGTTCGCTTCCTGTCTACTTATGTGATCTGCTCCTGGTCTCCATGATACTATGTGCAAGTGAGCTAATTCCATTTCATTCATGTCAGTGCATGTTCCCCAGTGTCTTTCCTCCCCATTGCTTGAGAGTTTCGGATATGCCTCAAGAATACCCATCCTCAGCACCTCATCTCTCATGGCAGCGTGTTCTCAGTACTTGTCACAAGCATGTCTTCCTAACCATGCCAAGGAGCAAGTTCTCTGTCCGCCTCTGTGGTGTTGCTCCTCTCCTCCCAGCAAAACAGTTCTCTTTCAGGAATCAAAGGTCTTGGCAAGGTTTTTCCTTTGGAAGAAGACAAGAAATCTTCCCATATAACATCAATTTGATATAGAAGACCACAGATTTCTAGACAACCTTTAGTTCTCAGGCAACTTTCGCGGCCCCTGAGGAACGAGCTCGGGCTAGTAATGGTAAGATACATGTACTAAAGTTTTTTAAAATATAAAATGTTCATAGTGTCTTAAGCAGGATATGCTACTGCTGGGATGGAAAGGAAGGAAGTTCAATCAAGCGGTTATTAACTGTCTGCAAATTTCTTCTATAAATACTTGCCAACATCTGAAATGGGACTTTCAAGTTACCAGAATGGAAAACAAAGATGGCTTTCCAGTGCTGTGGAGAAGAACTGGCAGTCTATGCTAGAAATATATTTCTCCTAATGGTCAACTCACTGCATATTTATGAATGGAAGGTTTTCAATGGTTATGATGATGGACTAAGCACATTTGCCCTGTTGTTGAACCAGCTGGAGTTGCTGTTACACTAAACAATTTCCTGAACTATTCTTACAGAATTGGGAGGCAATTTGATGAGAAATTGACCATATTCTTGGCTTGCATACAAAGTTTTCATGCAAAGAGAGATGCATACCACAAACAATGCCCCTCCACACATCATCAGAAAATCTGTCCCTGTGCCTGCTAACGGCAGTGAAATGAACAGGCAAAGAGACATACCACAACTTTATTTGACTCCTTGATGTTTCAGATCTGCACTGTAAGCCCCTCTCCTTGACATAGCAAAGGAACATCACACTATATTTCTCCAACTATTATAATCCTTCTCCCATGCTAGTTTCCCCTACCTTGTGCAGTATGGATGGGTGCAGGGAGAGGCCAAGACACCAGGTAAAGGGGAGGTAACAATTTTTGTAATCAATCATAGAACACTAGAACTGGAAGGCACCTCGAGAGATCATTGAGTCCAGTCCCCTGCCTCACAGCAGGACCAAGCACTGTCTAGATCTTCCCTGAGAAATGTCTATCCAACTTGCTCTTAAATATTTCCAGAGATGGAGATTCCACAACCTCTCTAGGTAATTTATTCCAGTGTTTAATCACTCTGGCCATTAGGAAGTTTTTCTTAATGTCCAACCTAAGCCTCCCTTGCTGCAATTTCCCAAGGAAGTAAGGACTACTGTGACAGAAGGCACGTCTAGACTTGCTTTCACTTTTGAAAGAAGATATGCAAATTCGGTGCAAATTTGCATATCTTCTGCCAATCGCTTTTTCGAAAGAGGTTCTTTCGAAAAAGAAAGTCTAGACACGGTTCTTTTGAGGAAAAGAAACCTTTTCAAAAGAACTGTTCTTCCTAAAAAAAATAAAGTTTACACAGTTCTTTCGAAAAAGGGTTTTTTCTCGAAAGAACCGTGTCTAGACAACTTTCTTTTTTGAAAGAACCTCTTTTGAAAAAGTGATAGGAAGAAGATATTCAAAATAGCGCAGAATTTGCATATCTTCTTTTGAAAGTGAAAGGAAGTCTACACGTGCCCTAACTGTTCCCCAGACAACAAAAGTGTTTCCTTTCCCTTCCCTGACCTCACTCTCCTCCCCCTCCCCCGTCCTCCTTCAGTGTGCCTCACATTTATGAGGGTAAGTACCTAGCTGGGGAAGGGAAAAGTTTTAGCTTTCCCCTAGCTGCAATCTTCTAAGGCCTGGTCTACACTACATCAGAAGGTCAAAGGAAGATACGCAACTCCAGCTACGTCATTTACGTAGTTGGAGTCGACGTATCTTACATCATGTTTCCACACTGTCTGTTATGCTTAAAAGAAGCATACAGGATCTTTTTCAGGAGGATAAGGCAACATGACGCATTTATTGATAATATAACAAAGTAGCATATGCATTCACACACACATGTCCTGCTGATGGAATAGTTACCAGTCTGTTGCTCAACCCAGCGTATTGGCCAGATAGATTGACTATGAGGGAGGAGCCAGGTTCTTGTCAGTCAGGACTGATGCTCCATGGTTTTACCAGGACAGAACCATATAACACACCCCATCCTTCATAGGATTTTCCTTCCATGCAAGTCTATGCATTTTGCCTGGTCAGGCCTTAATCAGTCATTCATCATCACAATCAGTTTTTCTGTGACATATGTTTATCTGGAGGTTGTTCTCGCAGTCATCTGACACCAGTATGCTGACAACTCCTCCTGGGTGTTGTCTTGTGGCGAAAATTAGTACCCTATCAAGGGGTGCTTGCCACTAACTTCAGGATTCGTCAATCTGTCCCAGTAGTCTGCATCTTCAGTGCGCTTCTGTGTCTCCGGCCCCTCCTCTGACCATTTGAGCATGCAGTGGCCTTCACACTTCTCTCTCCTAAAATATTCTCTCTCTCATTCACACATACAATACATTTACACAACTGCAGCATGGGACAAAAGGGTATTTCTAGTCACTTTAACAACGTTACAAAGTCTTTCAACATTAAACTTCTTTTTATCTATTATAAGGCCTTGCCTAATATTAACATCACTATGTATTACAATATTCCAACCCTTTGCTTTAACATCAGAACATGCTAACATCAAACAGAGCTGGAGCTAAATTATCAAAGCTGCCTGGCCTGTCTGAGGCCTACATCTTGTGTTTAAGTTTAATTCAACCCTTTTGCTATAACATACATTAATTATAACTAACTGACTTATTACCTACAAAATTACAAGGCTACACGTCCACATAGCAGGAGGCTTCCCTTACTCCTCATGAGGAGCAGGAATACTAACACCAATGAGGGTGCCCTTGGAATTTAATCTAGCAGGTCTATACTACACCTGCTAAATCAAATTTAGGAAGATCCACCGCAGCAGCATCAATCTTCCGTGTAGCATAGTTGTGCCCTAAAGAACAGAAGATAGTTGTTACTAACTTTACATAACCAACTGTAAGTTTTGTATAACTGTCCCATCCCTAATCAGGACTTCTGAAACCAGACCCTTCCTTCCTTTTGTTTCTCAGCTCCAGAACCATCACTTCATGTATGCAAGCTGGATATGCACAGACACAAGAGATACAATGATTATCATTTAATCATTTCTGCCTGTGGTTGGATTTGACCTCAGAGTGCCTATGGATAGAACTCTGACTATAACAGTCTCAGAACCTCACATATCTGTATGATACAGAGATAGTTTTCAGATAGTTAGGCTCTGTCTCTACACATTCCATGATTTGTCCATTAGGCATGTGAAACTTTGCACATCTAATTACAGATGTTTTCAAACATTTCAATTTGATTTCCCCCAATACCTGGTGCGAGCCAAGCACTCTGCAGAGACATGCCTCAAGTATTTGAGATCATGGTACAATGCTCTGAACCCTGGTTTAGTCTGTATCTGTAAGCAAAAAACTGTTGCCAGAACACATCATCTTTAAGAAAAGTTGCCTTTTTCCTCCCCCTCCAGGAGCTGCATCCCAGGAATCCCATTGTCCAATGACACCAAATTTGGATCACTGTAAATACCTCATATCTCCATTAGCCACATCAAATTCGAAAGCAACCACATAAGGGCTACGTCTACACTGGCCCCTCTTCCGGAAGGGGCATGTAAATTTCACGAGTCGTCGTAGGGAAATCCGCGGGGGATTTAAATATCCCCCGCGGCATTTAAATAAAAATGTCCGCCGCTTTTTTCCGGCTTTTAAAAAAGCCGGAAAAGAGCGTCTAGACTGGCCCCGATCCTCCGGAAAAAGTGCCCTTTTCCGGAGGCTCTTATTCCTACTTTGAAGTAA